CAGCACTTTGGGAGACCAATGTGGGTGGATTGCTTGAGTTTAGGAGTTTGACACCAGTCTAGGCAACACAGTGAAATCCCGTCTCTACAAAACATTAAAAATTAGCTGGGTGTGGTGGTGTGCGCCTGTAGTCCCAGCTACTCAGAACACTGAGGCAGGGGAGAGCTTGAGCCCAAGAGGTTGAGGCTGCAGTGAGGCATGAAGGCACCACTGCACTCCAGCCTGGGCAACAGAGCCAGACCCTGTCTCAGAAAACAAAACTAAAAGGAAGGAAGGAAAGGAAGGGAGGGAGGGAGGGAGGGAGGGAGGGAAGAAGAAAAGGAAAAGAAAAGAAAAGAAAAGAAAAATGGAAAAGAAAAGAAAAAGGAAAGGAAAAGAAAACAAGGTATTTGGGCATAACTTAACAGGCTCTATGTTATTATCATTATTATCTAGAGACAGTTTCTCACTCCTACACCCAGATTGGAGTGCGGTGGTGTCATCACAGCTTGCTGCAGCCTTGACCTCCAGGGCTCAAACCATCCTCCCGCTTCAGCCTTCTGGGTAGCTTGGACTACAGGTGTGCACCACCATGCCCAGCTAATTTTTTTTTTTTTTTTTTTTTTGTATTTTTTTTGTAGAGGTTTTGTGGTGTTGCCTAGGCTCATCTCCAACTCCTGGGCTCAAGTGATCAGCCCACCTCAACCTCCAAGAGTGCTGGGACTATAGGATGAGCCACCACCCCAGCCTTCACATATTCTTTCCATCTGTTATGCCTTGGATTGGCAGGGTTGGCAAATTTCCTGGCAATGGTGCTGCAATGCTGCCTCCTCCCATGCTTGAGGCAGGTGCTGCTTCTCAATCTTGCACCGTTTCCCGCTGAGCATGGACTTTCCTTACAAGCCTTGTCCACTCAGGGCTCCAGAAAGTCACTATCAATCAATGGGAACAAGCGTACCCAGTGAACCACCTTACTGTCCTAGGGTTCTAGCCAGTGTAGTCTTATTTTTTGCCTTTATTGATGCCATTTTTCAGAAATGCACCCAGTAGTTAAGAACTCTTAACCTTATTATGCATATTTTGAAATTAACTAAAAATATATAATAGCAATCATTAGTTTGGATTCCTAACTAACATGAACATTTAAATACCTAACTGACAGATTTAACGATGAATCATTTTGTTAAAGGTCTTTTTTCTACATCAACCGAAGATTTTAATTCTAGATGTACACATGGTTCCCTTAACTCTTTAAAAGTAAAGTGGCCTCTGTTTTCTTTCAGCCTCGGAGCTTCTCATGTGATTTAATAGCATCGATGGTTCACAATTTTCTAGAGCTCTGCAGCCATCTTAAAGCTGATATTAATGTTCCTGGCTTTGGGCAATGAATAATTAATTATGCTGCAAATAGCTAAATTAGGAAAGAGCCTATGGGAGAAGCCCTAAAAGAATGATCCATGGCAGGATTTGGGGAAGAGCTGGAGGTGCAGAAGTTGTTCAGACAGGAAAAGTGCAGCAACCACGACGGTCGGTGCCTTCGCATCAGGGTTTTCACTCGCTGAGCCAATGGGTCCGTAGCCGATGTCAGCTAAATGCCCCTGGTGGTGAAGAGCTCCACACTCCTTGTGTCCCTGGGGCATACTCCGTCAGGAGAATCAGAAGTTGAAGCAGAATCATAGGAGCATTTGGCCCCATTCTCTACTTAATTTTGTTATCGGTGACTTAAAGAAGGACCAACAGAACACCTTCCTGGGCCTTGAGGGAGCTCTCTGTTGCCATCACCAAGGCCCCATTGGCCCACGCTTCTGCCGCGGTGTGTACCAGCTCTCCTGGGAGTCACGTGGCCACATATCAAGGGGAAGGAGCTACTTCCCTCCTAGAGCAATGGCACCTGCAGGTAGGAGCTGAGTGGTGAGCTCTAACCTCTGTACTCTGCACTGGGCCAATACGGATCTCCCCCCTCCACATTTGACAGTCTTCATCCTGCCATACCAGGTATCACCATCTGCTTCAAAGTCCCCTTTACTATTTTTTCTACGACTGCTAGAAAACCTAAGGCCAAATAGGTCGATAGTAAGCTGTCCCCTAATTTCTAAGATAATGCTGTATAGCTTTAAAAAAGATGTTCAACAATCTTTATTGCATACTATAGAGGGAGTCCTGCGTCCCGGAAGTTGAAGGTATGGTAAAATCCCTCCTTATCATTCTTAGGGTGCTAGCTGTCCCGGGAGCTGGAAAGGTGATGCAGAAATTGCTGCTTCTTACAAGGCCATGACCTCTCCCTAACCCAGGTGAGGGTCAAGGCAAATGGTCATTTGCCACTAAGTTATAAATCTCTGAGCTGGAACTTGCTGGATGTCAATGCTTTGAGAGATATGAGGCCTGAGCCTGCATCTGGGCCCCACTCATTCACTTCCTACATCTGTATTCTGGTTAGGCACTCCGCCTGGCTGCGTGCTTGTACTTAAGCCCTCCTGTACTCTGGGACTAGGGGTACGGGTGAAGAGAGGGTAGAAGAGGTGAGTGAGTGAGGGAAAGAAAAGGTAGTGGAGTAGCAGGATGGGAGGGGGCTCTGGCCAGGATGTTGTGTAAGCAGAGCCCAGCAAATTATCTCTGTTCCCCTTGGCCTGACCCCTTTTCCCAGGAGCAGGGCCTGGCAAGCAGGGTTGTTAGGTAACAGTTTCAACCATCCTCTGGTGGGTTACATACAAAAAGCAGTTCAGAGAGTCAATGAAATGAATGATAGTGTACTTTTCTCACCATCCTAGCACTCTGGAGGTAAATGTGTGCAGCAGTTAACTGCAGACAGGGAGAGAGAATTCTACAACAGAGTTGAAGGTTAGAAACATGAAACAATTGGGGTATGATCCAAGAGATAACAATATGGTTTAACTGGTTTACCTCGTCTTGTAATCTAAAGAATAATTTCCATAACCCAGTTAACATTCTACTCATTACAGTATTTATGACTGTATATTTCTTTAAAAAGAGTTGAGGCTATGCACACAAATAACTATTCAATGACAAAGAATGAACTGAGGGCTACACAGTGGCCAGAGAGCAAGTATATTATAAAAGGCTTTGGATCTTGGAGATTCCAGCACCCACTAACCCTGTAGGCACTAACCTCTTATTTTTCTCCTTAGTCAAATGGATTTAACAATCTTTGCCCTGCCGTTTTTGAGCAAATTAGCAACAATATATAAGGGCAGTATCTAGCACAATACCCCAAATCGCCTAACACCTCCATAAATAATAGCTACCACTATTGTGAGAGTTTTAAGTCAAGCTGTGAATAAAACTCTTGTGTCCACTTAAATATACCTGCCCTGAATGTAAGCATCCAGAGAATCAGGGAATGCTGTAAGACAGCCCTAATCTAAAAGCCTACAAGAGTCTCAGTGGGCTTCAAGGAACACACTGTTCCTGGTAGGAGAAGGAACCTTAGCCCTCTATTTGCCTCCTGGGCCATAGTAATATTGATAATAGCTGCTGCCTTTAGTTGAGGACCATGTACGTCTGTGTCACTGCACTGGCCACTTTACTTACACTTTCCTGCTTTGTCCTCACAAAAATCTTGTAAGGTGTGTATTGGTCCCATTTAGCAGGTAAGAGAACGAAGACCAGAGGTCCAGCACCTTGCCTAAACCACACCTGCTGGGATTTAGACTCAAGTCCAACCGTAGGGCTCAAACTCTCAGCCACTTCCCTAAAGTCCACCTCCAGCTACATTAAGTAAAAAAATCCAGAAAGATGCCACCTCGGTGTCTGGAACTGCCTCCTCTGAGCACCCGGCTCTCCCCTCCCTGCGGACTCTTCTCTAGAGAGGATGTGATGCTTCTTACTTTTCTCAGATCCCTCTCCCCACCCTGCGAGTGACGTTGCGCCTATGTGCCTGGTGGGATAGGGATCTGGGAGCTTTGCCTGTTTCTTGCACACTGCCATCCCCTAGTCCTAGGGAGCGAGCTCTGTCCCCCTTTTCACATCTCCTCCGCGTTCTCCTCTCCTCCTTGCACTCTACAGCACCCCTGGGAATGTCCCCAAACCTGATCGGGGCATGCACACCGCGGTGTGCGTGTGCGTGTGTGTGTTCCTGCGCGTGTGCCGGGCGCGCGGGGCAGGAAAAAGCGCCTAATCCAGGCTCTGCGTCACTCCCGCAATTGGTTAGAAATGGAGTTTCCTGGTGTTTTAATCCCGGGAGGGCACTTCGCCTTCGCTGTTTCCCAGAGTCCCTGATTTTCCTGCCTTGCATGCCTGCCCCCCATAGGGCATCCGTGCCTCAATTCATCCCCTGCCATCATCCAAGGAAGGGGTGAGGGGTAAGGCGGGGGAGAACCAGGTGGCTTGGTCGTCCCCCGGCCTCCGCCTCCCATGTTGTGTGCAGTTTCCACCACGTCCGTTTCGGAGGGAGAAGGGGAGGGTGCAGATGAGGCGAGGCTCCTTCAGGAGCGCGGAGAGCCGGCAGGCAGTGCCACCTGCTGAGAGCCACTCAGGCCGAGCGAGCGGCGGGCAGTGCCACCTGCTATAAATAGGCCGCCAAGGACAGGGTGTGCGACTGCACATCCCGCCACGAGGGCCTGCATCACGCGCGGGGGCCTGCGCCCCCGTCTCCCCAGGGAAACGCTGTGCCCAGATCCTGCGCAGGGGGCTGGATGGGGCGGCAGCCCGAGTACCTCCCCCCATTTCCCCTACAGACACTGGCTGAGGATGGCCCGCGGGCTTGGGGGCGGGGGGTGGCAAAGAGGGGAGGGAGGCCGCGGCGGACCCGCAGTGCAGCAGCTGTTGCTCGCGTGTGACTCGCCGGTCCGGGCCGTGGTGCCCGGGCACAGTCGCACGGCGCAGTGGGGAGGAGGAGGACACCGAGTCCCCCTCGCAGCTCCCCGGGGACCGAGTGGGGAGATCCCGGCTCCTGTCCTCTCCTCGCCTCCCGCGCGCTCGCCCAGGCTGGGAGGAGGAAACGAGAGCCGCGCGCAGACACCTCCTCCTCCTCTCCTCCTCTTCCTCCTCCTCCTCCTCCTCCTCTTCGGCTGCTGCTCCTGGTGCCGCCACAGTCCGCCGGTGCCTGTTGCTGCCGCCGCCGCGGGACCCGCTGTGTCCTCAGCCGGGTGGAGAAGAGAGGGGCGCAGAGCCGACGGGAGCCCCTTCCCCGGCCCCCAGCGGCGGGAAGAGCGCAGCCAGCCCGGCACGATGGACGCCCCGCCCGCCCAAGCCGTCCCCAGGATGCCCCCAAGCACCTGCGCGTCCCGGCCTGGCCCCGGGCTCTGAGCGCGCCGCGGCTCAGGTAAGCGCCTTCCGGGGCTTCGACCTGGCCACCCCGCTGGCTTCTCTTGGGGCATCGCGGCCGCCCCCGCCCCCAGCACGCCCCTGCCCCGCCTGGCCGCGGAGGGAAAGGCATCTGGCCGCCCACGGACGCTCCTGCTGGCCTGGCCAGCGGGGTCTCTCGGGGGAGGAAGTTCATTGCCATCTCGTTGTCCCCCAAACTCCCCCCCGCCCTTGGGCGAAAGCGAAACCTTAATGTTGCTAGCGACCCGAGAGCTCCGCCGGCTTCTCCCCCCACCCCCACCCGCTCACTGGTCCGCGCATCTCTCCCCTCCCCCCTCCCGCCAAATATCTCGAGGGCTAGTGTGTTTGCAAGGCGACCACATTGGGAAGAGTGTGGTCAGAGTGACCCCAAGCCACCCTTTAAAAGTTCAGGGTACTCTTTGCAGTTGTAACTTTGGCAGCTCCACTAGTGCGCGCAACATTTCTTTCTATGGGCACATCCTGTACCACTCATTTTGAAACCCTTCTGAATTGTTTCTAGCCGCTTCCCGACGGCTCTGTGATTATGAGACCCCCTCAAACTTCACCAGGCATTAGGTTTTGTTTTTGTTTTTTTTTCAAAGAGGTATCATTTTGTTTGAAATCCACCTAGATGTGACTTTTCCTGTTTTGATTTTACTTAACATAGCTTATTCTCTGGAAGTTACTTTAAAACTAAATTGAAAGTGATGGTTGTTCCTTCCACCAAACAGTTTAATTTTCAGGGTGCCCCATATTAATGGATATGTTTTCACTTCATAGATTTCTCATTGTTTCCTTTATGATGGGATGATTTCATTTATTAATAAAACCAGACTTTGAAAGAGCATTTAAAAATGACCTGGTTTAAATAGGTCACACCCAAGAAACTCAGCTCTCTGTACAAGTTCAAACTTCTGAACTTTTTGCACTGGACCTAAGCTGAATGCAGAGGCCTTGGTCCAAAACCCTTGGTTAGGAGGGCAGAAATTTCTTCTCTAGATGTGAACTGGGATTGGTAGGAGTTGGAGAATGGCCACCTCTGGTTTTTGTTGTGTTTTGGAAGGCAGCTGTATGTGGGAGGGATTGGGGTGGAAGAATGAAAGGAGAGCTGCTCCCAGAGACTGAGAATCCACCTTGCAGAACGACTTTTTACATTTCTGACTCTTCGTGTTCTATCACTCCCGTAGGTTAGGAATACCTGAACAGGTGAGTTCGGCACCTTTTTCTAGAGTTGAGATGGCTTCTCTTGGTCGGGAAAGAAGTGTGCGTCATCATCGACTTCCTAGGAGCTGTCTTAAGGAATAAGGACATGGCATGAAAGAGTTTACATAGTAAAGGTTTAACTGCTTTTGTAAACAGGTGTTTTACAACGATTTGAAATTGGATGCTATCATAGTCTCACAGTCTGCCTGTTTCCTGTTATTTTTTTCTGGCATGTTATAGAAAAATAAGACCCCAACAAGTGCTTTCTCTCCAGATTTATCTATAAGTAACCATTGACATAACATGTCGCTACTGGATAGTAGCCACAGCTGTGAGTTAAAAGGTATCATATAAAATGTTTAGGCCAGGAGCAGTGTCTTACACTTGTAATCCCCACACTTTGGGAGGCTGAGGCAGGAGGATCGTTTGAGCCCAAGAGTTCAAGAAAGATATTGAGACCCCATCTCTACAAAAATTTTTTACATGAGCTAGGGGTGGTGGCACCCACCTGTAGTCCCAGCTACTTGGGAGGCTGAGCCAGGAGGATCACTTGAGCCCAGGAGTTCGAGGCTGTAGTGAGCTATGACTGTGCCACCTCAGTGGAGCCTAGTTGACAAAGTGAGATCCCATCTCTTAAAAAAGAAGAGTTTAGGGGGTATTGTCTGAAGTGAACACAAGTAGAGTATTCTAACAATATTGAGTGTAAGGAGACATGGAAGGGACTAAGTGGTTCAAAGCAGGAAATAAAATCATCAGGTGATAATTAAAATCATTTCTTTGATGTGGATTTGTCCAGTCATTTGCAAACCAGGAGAAAGGGAAAAAAAATCACTGGTGTAGTTATAAATTATTACATTATGTTTTCAAAGGAAAATGTTGCAAACGCGTCTCCTTGTCATAGTCTATTGTTATCTACCCCACTGAGAGTGCTGGGGCTTCCCCTTTTCACCATGACAGCATTTCTGGTTGGGTGGCAGTCATGCAGTGTTGACCTGGTGTCCAGTAAGGCATAGTTTGTCAAAACACTAGTGGGTATTAGGAGGAAACGTGCAACTCTGAAGCAATAGAGCTTGCCCCTTCTTCCTCATTATCCAGCTGATAATAATCCCTGTCCCCCACTTCCCTAGAAGGCAGCTCTGACAAGGAAGTCTGCGATCACAATGAGATGTACCCCTGTGCAGAGCCAGATGTGGGTGGGTGGCTCCTTTGTGGTCCAGATCTTCTAGGATCTTCTAGGATGTACCATGGCAAGCAGTGAGGAGCCTGAACCAAGCAGCATGGCTGTTACCTCTTCTGTGTTCACAGCAGCATCTTCAGTTGTCTTGGTGCCTAGAGTAGGTACCACAGCTGCCTGCTTTGTTGGCCACCAGCTTTCTGGCAGAGTAGGTGGTAGGGAGGAGAGCAAGGGGCTCAAGAGGATTGTGTCTTTGAGCATGCTTTTAATTTGATCTGACAGAATGGCAGCTCCCGGAAGCCCTTCCTACTCTCTCCACAGCATTTCTCTGTAGGTCCCCAGTTTTCACTCTTTTCAGATGCCCAGAGAACTGAAAATGTATCACAGCCCATTTGGGGACCTCGTGTGTATGTGTGAGTGCCTCAGGATCATTTGTTTTGCCCTTTTCTGGTCTACCGTGCTGGCCTTCTCAAGTTTAATGATCATGTTAGTTTCCATGTTTTATATATTTCTCAGCAGGTTTCATCTCCTGGTCATTAAACTTGAGAAATAAAATCTGCTCATTAAAATGACTGAGTCCATGGCCAGGCATAGTGGCTCATGCATATAATCCCAGCACTTTGGGAGTCCAAAGCAGGTGGATCACTTGAGGTCAGGAGTTTGAGACCAGCCTGGCCAACATGGCAAAACTGTCTCTACAAAAATATAGGTATACAAAAACTAGCCTGGCATGGTGGCATGTGCCTGTGGTCCCAGCTATTTGGGAGGCTGAAGCAGGAGAATGGCTTGAAGCTGGGAGGCGGAGGTTGCTGTGAAACGTGATCGTGCCACTGAGTCCAGCAGCCGAGTAGTGTTGGGGTTTGTATCCCTGTAGTGATGATGAAGGATTTAGGTTTTCAGTGAGAACTGTTACTTTGCAATTTCCTTCACTGACTTTTCTTCCTTTCCAACCCCATATTCCAATAAAAAAGATCTTTAAACCAGATTCTTCACGAAAGACATGAAGGTTTTCATCTTCAAGATTTTTTACTTTTTTTTTTTTTGAAATGGAGTCTTGCTCTGTCACTCAGGCTGGAGTGCAGTGGCGTGATCTCGGCTCACTGCAAGCTTCGGCTCACTGCAACCTGGGAGGCCCCAGATTCAAGTGATTCTCTGCCTCAGCCTCCCGAGTAGCTGGGACTACAGGCGTACAGGCATGCTCTACCACGGCTGGCTAATTTTTGTATTTTTAGAAGAGGCAGGGTTTCACCATCTTGGCCAGACTGGTCTTGAACTCCCGACCTCGTGATCCACCACCTTGGCCTCCCAAAGTGCTGGGATTACAGATGTGAGCCATGGCGCCCAGCAGGTTTTTGACATTTCTAAGCCAAAAGTTCCATTTGATGAGGTCTTAGATGCAGGGGCAATGTGTCCCTTTTCAGATTTCAGATGTTTAGAAAAAGATTTGTCATATTTGGGCAAACTGAAAAACTCTTGATATGAGGGTTTCTATGAAACTCTGCAGAATGTAGGAAATACATTTTAGCACCAACAAAGAGGCATTTAATGTTGAGTGTGCCTGTCTCCTTTGAGATGAGCAACAACTATTTTTCTCTTATTAAAAGACAATGCATTTATTTAACAGTACATTTTATATAATCAGCAAATCTAAACTTCTGAATTAGGTAAGCCCTATGGGTTCGTTGTCAGAGTTAGTGAATTTATATAAGCAAAGTGCTTAGAAAACAGTGCCTGGTACACAGTGAGCACTCAATATTATTTATTGCTATTATTGTGTTTGTTTATTTTATACCTTTAGAGTATAATTTGATGTTAGGTTTAGATTGCTGAGGCCAAGCAAAATTTAGATAGAACAACCTAGCTAATCCACTAGAAAGATATTTGAGGGTTATTCCCATCTAAAGATCTATGGGATCTTTGAATATCATCTATGGGAAACAACAGAAGTACGTAGATAAGACAGATATGGACTCAAATCCTACCTTCACAATTTATTAGTGAGGGAACCCTTTGGTAAAATGAGGATGACAAAACCTACTTCTCAGCGTTGTGAACGTACAGAAGATCATGAATGTAAAATGTCCATGAAGTGGTAGGTGGTCAACAGATATTACTCTAGCAAAGAGGTTAAGAGCAAGAAAACTCTGGAGCCAAAGGGCCTGGGTTCAAATCCCAACTCTGCCACTTCTTATAGTATGGCCTTGGACAGGTGACCTCACTTCTCTGTGCCACTATTCAATGATAATATTCCTTATTGTCCAACGTTTTATAAGTTAAATCAGTTAATAAACACACGATGACAATGTGTTGATAACTATTCTTTTTACTTTTAGCAGAATAACTTAAAGGAACCCTACAGGTGGGAGGGTTATACATAATCTCTGAGGGCCAGCTAGGACCCTCCCCCATTTCCCACCCTTTTTCCTGTGCAATGAAGAGAATATAAGAAGTGACAGTGCCATTCTAAAAGACTAGCCTCGAGTTGGCTCTAATTTATATGACTCGTGCCTGTAATCCCAGCACTTTGGGAGGCCGAGGCCGGCAGATCACTTGAGGTCAGGAGTTGGAGATCAGCCTGGCCAACATGACGAAACCCCTCTACCAAAAATACAAAAATTAGC